TGTGTGTGTGTGTGTGTGTGTGTGTGTGTGTGTGCGTGTGTGTGTGTCCATAGAAATATGAAGATATACGCATACCATGGCGGCCAGGTTATGGCGTCGACTACTGTGTGCTCATTTGTCATTGCGGCACCATCGGACAAGAACACCACCACAGCATTCTCCAGCAACCACGGACGCCGACCAAATCTGTTGCATGGTAGTGGCAAGGGTATTGTATAAGAGGTAGGTATAGGAATTAGGAATCTTTATATATTTATATATAAATACTTCATTGTACTTATATATATGTATGAGTAAATATACATACTCAAGTGTGCATATACACATTTGAGAATCCCATCATTTTCTCGCCTGTATTCTACTGATTGTACAGGCAAAGCTTAATCCATAAAAGGCTTAAGATTACTAGGGTGTAGGTAATAACATACACCAGTCGGTACTATCTGATCGAATGGTGCGGACGCGACAACTTGTCCAGGATGCAGTCAAAGCTTTGAAAGACGAGCAGAAAAACTTGGTTTATCGTAAGGCGTGGGCTGATTTATAAAGGTAAATCTATAGAAATCGCACACAGTTTGTACTGAAATGACAGGGCTATAATGGAGTTTTGAACCTCCATCACCCTTTGATACCAACAAAATCAGCGTCTTTTTTTTGAGGGACTGGGGTTTAGGGGTTAGAGTTTTAGGGTTTTGAAACTGAGGAAAGTAAGTCTCTGGCCTATACGTAGGGTTTTAAACAGATCTGGGTCGAACATCAAACTGTGTCTATAGTCATGCACAGGCATATACAAATAGTTAAGCATTAAATCTCACAAGCAATACACCTAGCCTAAAACATGTCACTGCAACTGCAATGTGTTTTATTTGAGAAACCTGAAAGTATTCGTGGGAGTATCGTGAGCACTGACACTGACCCGATCGGGTTGATACAAACATCGAGCAAAGCATAGAGACAAGTACATACATAGATACATGACCCTTTCTTCCCATCGTACATACATCAGTTTGTGATTGCAATCAATTCTGGTTGACAATCCTGATCGCATTCGTAGAACTATCGCTGATTTAGAACCTGTGGCGAGCGCTGCCATTTCCCACTTTGATCCCATACAAACATCATGCAAAATATAGATGCACGAGCATTCATAATTACATGATTCTATCTGGACGAATAATAATACCCAAAGAGCCATCCCCATCAATGATGATACCCAAAGAACCAAACCCAACAATGATTATACCCAAAGAACCATACCCAAAAGTATCCGTTTGCGATTGCAATCTGTTCTGATTGAGAATCCTGAACGCATTCGTAAGACTGTCGCTCACATTGGATCGGTGGTGAGCGCTGACATTGCCCAATTCTTGCAGGAATGCCTCGGGGGGGTCATTCTGGCTCACTCGCAGTGCTTTAACGGGGTCTGGGTCGAAGGTCACCAGCATGTACTTGACCTGAACGCCAGGCATAGAGAGTACAGCCTTATCTACACGCTGGAATATTGTGATTAATTGTAAAGTGGAAATTATTTGAATTGTTTAGAAACAATAGGTGCAGTTCAAAAGTCGTCAGCATATATTTGACCTGACCACTAGGTACGGTGAGTATGACCTCGTACATATGCTAAATTAATTCTGAATTATTTGAAATCACTGTATAAAATTCAAGTCAGAGAATTAAACACTAAAATTAAAAACAATAGGTGCAGATCGTTGGCCACTAGCATGGACATGGCCTGCGCTAAAGGCATTAAAACAAAAAAACTTCTAAAAACCCTAGTTGCAATACGCGAGGCGCATATCTAACGTCTCAATTGTAGACTCTGTGAGTGCATGTCCATCACTCACACAACTAAAAGCACTAGCATAAACATGAAACAGATTTGTGCAATCATACACT